ACAAAAAATTTGAGCGCGATTGATAAACTAGTTTTTGAGTTATCAGCCACACCAATTGTAAAAATGTAGTTTTGAGAAAAACGCGTTTAAAGTTTCAGTCCTCCGCACTGAACGCGTGAATACTCGCGGCGCTAATTGGCCATAACTTCAAAAGGGCTTCGTATTTCACTTGAAAATTTTAAGACAATATTTTTAAGATGTTACACTAACATTTTATAGAAAAAAAAATTTTTTAATTTTTCAAGATTCTAGAAGTATTGCCCCCCTTAATCTTCATTCTACATTGAATCTAATATTTCAGTTAATATTTCTAATATGTCTAATATTTCCAATATTATCTAATATTATGTACATAATAACACTGGCAATGTACAGGGACAGTAATGTGTTAACAAAGATTTAGATATATTTTTTATTTACATGTATGTATTGCACCTAACTTCACTCTTGAAATAAAATGTAACAACAAAATGAAATATTTTAATTTAAAAGTTTTTTTTTAATTTTAGAATTCTAAACTGAGAATATACGAAACTGGGAAAGCCGGAAGTTGAATGTTAAAAAAAAAAATTTGAAAATTTAAAATTTCCAATTAAAAATTCTGGAATTCAAGTATTTGAAGTTTATGCATTTACAAATTTTGAAATTTAAACGCACAGAAATTTGAAAATTTATAAATTTAAGGATGTAATAATTTTATTATCCCAAAATACGGAAGTTTAGTTTGCAAATTTAAAAATTGAAGAATTCAATAATTTTGTGTAAATTAAAAAATTTGCAAATTCGGAATTTGAAATATTAAGAACTTGGAAATTAAAAAATCCTGAATTCTCAGGCTTAAATACTTACAACTTCGTAAACTTATTTTGGAAAATTCAAGAATGTACGAATCTAGAAATAGAGGATTTTAGAAACTCTTAAATTTAGGAAATCAAAAATTAAAAAATTTGCAACTAAAAATTTGAAAATTTCTTATTTAAAACGCACATGTTTTATTACATTTCTGATCTTTACTTTTATCTAAAGAGAGAATTATTTCATAAAAGAAACTGATTAAACCCCATACTATCTTTTATTAACATTATGTTGGACCAAAATATGAGGTATAAAAATAAACTTTACTTTCGTAAAATGAACAGACTCACATATGCAGTAGGATATGTTTCATAAAGTTTATTTTTCTAACATTGGAAATTTTACTTTATCGTGATTTTTTCTCAGTCTTTTCGCATGCATTACACTGTTGCATATTACATGACGCATTCTCAAAATATTGAAAAACGGACAAAACTAGGTAATAATAGAACCGTAGTATGACATATTTTATATGAATTTTACTCTTAAAATTTCTCAAAATTAATTACATAAAATTTTCATTAATATTTTTTATATAAATTCGCAGGTTACTAGTTATAAACAATGGCTAATTGTGAAGGATCCAAAATTTAGCATCATTTAATGACTAGTATTAAAAAATGATTCTTATTTACTATCATATATTAATTACTATTAATTATTTTTTATTAACTCCTATCCTTTTTACAGAAGTTTAAAGTCAATTTTCTATTCTTTCCTTAAAAGTATTTCGACTTTTAACAGTAGACGAAAACTACAAATACATTAAAATTGCATTCCAGGCTCGTTGTAATAACTGAATTTTGGACTATTTTTATTGGTATTTTTTTTACATAATCAGATAGTATTTGGTAAATATAGACGAAATATAATGATTATGGGCGTCAGAATCTATTAGTAGGAACCTCAAAGTCTGATTTTGTAATGCTTATTGAGGTACATAATTTAAGTACAGACAAATACAAGTAGTATGAGTCAGGTCAAATATTTATCCAGCCACCAGCAGACGGTCAACAGGCACAAATCAAATCATATTTTTGCATGATTTCAAAGATCGAAGCGAAATTTGGTGAAAGAAAATATGATCGAGTCAGAAAAGTAGACGATCATTGGGTGTTGGGGATGGCCGACTAACACAAGCAAGTATCGTATGATTGTGATTCATAAGCATGAGACGTTCACTATACTACCAGTTATACAGAGACACGTTAACATCGATAGTGAAATTTATACGGACTGTTTCAAAAGTTGCACAGGACTCAACGCAGATAGCTATATGCGTAAGAGTGTTAATTACGGTAAAGAGTTCGTAGGCAAATATGATTTACTTTGAATCTCAGTTAGATTATGGCCGAACTTCGATTAAACTCTAACTAAATGAAATTCAATAAATGTTAGCTGGCGACGATATTCATACTCAAAAATTGGAATCATGCTGGCGTTCTGCAAAAGGGTGGATGAGGGGAAGAAGATGTTTTCACGACAATGCATTTGCACTTCGACTATGCGAATATTTACAGCGACAATTTTGCCGAAATAATGTTTACCTAATGGCATTCCTAATGGAATCGATCCAGGCATAATAAGTGTTTTACTAAATAACAGAATTCACCTGGTTTGTAAGCTGCACTCCAAAATCAAACTTGAACAGCGAATAGCTTTTGAACCAATGTACTTCGACATCCGAAATCATAAAATTTTATCCATATTTATTGAATACTATTAAATTATATAAAAGAGAAGAAGATGGTAATCCAAAACGAACATACATAATTTCCGGAGAAAAATTCACCTGGTTTATAAGCTGTACTCTAAAACCAAACTTGGAGAATATAACTTCTGAACCAATGAATTCAGACATTCCGAATCATTATATTTCGTCTGTATGTATGGAGTGCTATCAGAGCATGCTAAAGAAATTAGAAAGATGGAGCTCCAAGACAAAGTTTAACAATGATATCCATATTAAAAATGAGTCGATTCGAAGAAAAATATGAAACAAAAGCAAACGAGACTTTAAATTCCACCGATGAATTATGGAATCGTTAAAAGTAACAAAGCAAATATCGAGAGAAGATAAACATATCAACGGGGTTTGAATAAAATGGTGAAGGAAAGGCAAATGGGAAAATTTGACGGCCAAAGAGAAACATACAGTATCAGATGATTTAGCATGGAACAGAGGGCGCTATTTTAGAGCCGAGACATTTGAAATGTAGACTAACCTCTATTGTTCGAACTAATAAGAAAACAAAAGTGTTTAGATTTGGAAATTCTCAAACAAAAGAACCAGACGGCTTTAGTGTTAAATTTTGCACATAACGTTACTGAAACAGGTGGTCAAACTTTAGAAACGCGGCGTATTCTCAAGCGTATTAAATATCATGAAAATATTTAGGTTAGAAATGATTATTTTCCGGATTGTAAACATACTTCTCGCCTGTACAATAAGTATCATAGAAATACCTGGTTAAGTTTAAAGTTTAACTGTGATTTTGTGCATTTGTTGGTAGACTTACATAGCTCTTAGTATTTTTTAGTATTATACTTTTAATATTCTAAAATAATGAGTAGTGTAACATCGACAATGATAACGAATAATTCGGTATTTTATATTTTAGGGATTCGTAACTTGAAGTAACAGGTACTTATGTATATAATTATATAAGTACACGATGTATCCTCAAAGTAAATATGAACTCGAAATTTGATAGAAAATACTTGAGCAGTAGACGGTTTTGATAAATAAACTTGTCTAAATATCTCCCTACAAAATTATAAAAATTGTAAAAAGTGTACAATGTTCTCTAAAACACAGGATGTTATATTCTTCTTAAAGTCATATATTTAAGCGACTCAGAGCTCGGACATGCAGTCGTCTTAAAAATAACTGAAGAAGGCAAAGACAGGGTTTGTTCTTTCAAAGAGAGATCAAAGGGCCACCCGTTTGGTATTCTTAGAATACTTTCTGCGTACGAAAGAAAACAGATTAACGACACATGCCGAAATTATTTTTGCTGCGTAAGAATTTAAAAAATGTGTGTCTGAATCTACCAAAAACGAACAATACTTAATTAGCTAAAGATAACTCGGGCTATAAAGACCACGAAAGTGGCAAAAGATTTATTTCAAAACATGTCCAGTTGTACTCTGTTGTCCCGTACTTTACAAACTGAAAAAAATCTTCTTTGATCAGCGTCGCGAAGATAAATTGAAAATAGTATGCGCTGAAAGGAATGCTGGGAAAGAAAGTAACATGCCACTCACCGATCACATTCAGCAGGGCGAGAACTTCACAGAGGTAGTACCTGTAAGCCCACCAATTGTGATAGCGAAGATTTTCCCAGAGATAGTCAAGCAACATCTTCTTCTTCTGTTTCTTCTCGACCTCGGAACAGAGGCCGATGTCGAGGTCCATCATCAACGCATGGATCTTGCCACCTTCCCACCCCTTCCACAACCATCGTGGTGTGTAGAAGAGGATCGCCTGAAAGTAAAAAAAGAACAGCTGCTTACTACTGTGTTTCTATATATTGCAGAATATATGTATATCCCAATTACGAAGGCTCCAAACCAGTTTGCATGGACATAATATAAAAAGTACTGCTACAGGAATGTCATTCTTAAAATGAACATTGAGCATTCTCTTCTTGAAAATAATTTTCTTTAAAGAAATTAAATTTTCGTAATTTATTTAACGCAATGAAAACAAATGTTCTTATCTGTGTTATGGAGATCTTTCGGTTATTGCAGATATATTTGGAGGTCACAGTTTCGGAGTCTCTATGTTTGGCTGCTCCCTTTAATTTCGTTCTAAATACTGTTTTGTAGAAAATAATTTAATGAACATAAAATTATTTGGGAGATAACACGCGACACATTTTACTTTTGTAGGTTAGAATAAATATAAGGCTATGGCAAATATTGTGCTTAGGGCCTCCGTATTATGGACAAGCTTGAAAATTTCGCGGTATTACAGAATTTACTGAAAAATAAAAATAAAAAGGCTTGTAGATGTTGCATGCATTCTTTTTTACTATATTAGACCATTTTATGATGGAATATATATTTTATACGGCAAAAGTACAGTTTATAATTGATTAATACGAAACATTTCTTTTGGATAATTTCTACCAAAATCGTCGAAAGCATAACGCGCATTCTTTGGTAAATATTTACAACATTGTAACATATTACTGTTGCAGTTTTTTACTCTGAATCCTATTCATTGATAATTACATTTAATTTGAAAAGTTTGTTTATTCTTATTTATATATGTATCTCTTTTAATCGACAATTTTAATACAAAGGCTCCGTAATTCATAGATCTATTCTAATAGCATAATGATACCAACAATGTGTACAACTGAATAAAAATACAATGAATAACAGCGTAGTAAATAATCAGGTTCATTAAAAGTATCTTTGAGATCTTCTTTGTTCAGTATATTGTATTTTACTCTTATGATGTTCCAGAAGCTACTTTCGTGACAATAAATAACATAAAAATGTACTGGAACAATATTTTACAAATCTCAGAAATTTCGAATATGGGCAGTAAAAAAGCATAATGGATCGCATATTTCACAAAAGAAAATACCTAAACAAATAGTTGATTGCACAAACCACTTAATATTCCTGTTACCAATAAATGTTATCTTTGAGAAGTAATTGTAGATAATAAAATGCTCACGGAGAAGTGGATTAGAAAGCAATGCCAATCATTATAAAACATTAGCTTCCAACGTAATAACATATTTAACACCATTTCTGCTTCATTATAAACTATCAGAAGCATTAAGCAGATACCCTGGTGTTATGAACTGCCTCAATATCTGAATCTCTTCAATTTTCAAGCTTCGGCCATGAAGATAATATGTTAGCAAAAGAAACACTGCTAAGGAATGCGTAACGTTAAGTTAATATTAAACGATGAAAGGCCACGAGAAATCAGAATTCCTTGACGAACATTAGAAAACACTTACTCCATTTTACTCTTTCATACACTGTACACATTGTATATAATGACTTTTATTGGGTTTTAAATTCAGAAGTGTATAACAAAACTTATTATTTATAATGTAAACTTGAATGCGGGCTTCGTTTGCATGGGTACAAAATTGTATCTTTACAAATTTCAAAATTTTTTAATTTCTTAAACTTCTAAAATTTCTAACTTTTTAATTTCCACATTTCCAAATTTCTTAGTCTCCAATTCCAATTTCTACATTTCTAATTTTCGAAATTATAATATTTTCAAATCTTCGAATTTCGAAATTCTTTAGTTCCAAAATTTATCTTTCCACATTCCAAATTCATAAATTCTCAAATCTTCCAATTACTCAAATTCAAATTTCTAATTTACCAATTCCCAATTTCCCTATTTCCCAATTTTCTAATTTCCCAATCTCCCAATCTCCCAATCTCCCAATCTCCCAATTTCCCAATCTCCCAATCTCCCAATCTCCCAATCTCCCAATCTCCCAATCTCCCAATCTCCCAATCTCCCAATCTCCCAATCTCCCAATCTCCCAATCTCCCAATCTCCCAATCTCCCAATCTCCCAATCTCCCAATCTCCCAATCTCCCAATCTCCCAATCTCCCAATCTCCCAATCTCCCAATCTCCCAATCTCCCAATCTCCCAATCTCCCAATCTCCCAATCTCCCAATCTCCCAATCTCCCAATCTCTCAATCTTCGAATCTCCCAATCTTCCAATCTCCCAATTTCCCAATTTCCCAATCTCCCAATTTCACAATTTCCCAATCTCCCAATCTCCCAATCTCCCAATCTCCCAATCTCCCAATCTCCCAATCTCCCAATCTCCCAATCTCCCAATCTCCCAATCTCCCAATCTCCCAATCTCCCAATCTCCCAATCTCCCAATCTCCCAATCTCCCAATCTCCCAATCTCCCAATCTCCCAATCTCCCAATCTCCCAATCTCCCAATCTCCCAATCTTCCAATCTTCCAATCTCCCAATCTCCCAATTTCCCAATTTCCCAATTTCCTAATTCCCAAATTCTCAAATGTTGCAACTTCCCAAATTCCAAATTCTCAAATTTACAAACACATAGATCCCCAAATTCCTAGATTCCTATATTCCTAATCTTCTAAATTGTAGTTTCTATCACTACTTTAATTAAAAACAATCGACATTTCCGTTATTACTTGGAATATTTTAACTTTTACCTTGAAGTATTTCAAGTATCAACTTAAAATATTTTAATATATAAATTTGTAGCGTAAATGATTCTAAAAAGTACTGTAAATATTGTACATAAATAAAATCTAACTATAAGTAGAATGTATTTTTCGCGCACCGCGTAGCTAGCGTATCTCGGGCAGGCCATGTCGTAAAACCTTTATACGCGGCGGCACACACCCGTGATTAGACGGGTCCAGAAGTACCAAAATAGTATAAATATGTACTGGCAAAAAATCATATTTAAGATAGTCGAGCGTAAGCTACCGTCTTATGTCAGTAACCCGAGCGGTAGCATTGCCAGTAAGTAGTCGGATTTTTGCATTTACTTTGTATGTGCCAAGTGCATTGTTGGCAAAAGTAGGTGAGGGAGGAAAGAAACCATTTTTCTTTTAAGGATTTATAAGAATTTCAGAACTGGAGGTGTGGAAATCCAAAGATTTGTGGATTTAGAAATTTGTTAATGCAATGGTTTGAGGATTTGATGATTTAGCGACTAGGTATTTGAGGATTTGGAGATTTGTGCATTTCAGAATTTAAGATTTCGGAAATCTAGGCATTTATAGATGCAGGGATTTCAGGATTTAGGAATTTGGGAATTGGGAAATTTGAGAATTTAGCTATTTGGAAGTCTAGAACTTTGGAGACGTAGGATTTTAGGATTCAGGAGTTTGGATACTTATCTTTTGAGGATCTAGAGACTTATGGATGTACGGATTTGTGGATATACGGAGTTGAGGATGTAGGTATGTGTGATACAGGAATTTCAGGACTTAGGAATTTGGGAATTTAGTTATTTGAGCGTTTAGAGATTTAGGGATGTAGGGATTCAGAGGTGTAGATATTTATGAATATACGAATTTGAAGATTTAGGAATTCCAGATATGTCGCGGTGACGATAACGCACGATCCCGGGACGCGCCATGCCGCCGGGGCGGGAATCACCGAGGGGTTTTAGTGGGTACAAATCCCACACTGTCCCCGCTCCTCCCGGGGAGTGGGGGTGTCTTTTCGAAGATTTCCCCTCGTAAAAAAAAAGGGAATTCGAGATATAGGATTCTCAAGATTTAGGAATTCGCGAATCTGGAAATTTGAGAATTTAGCTGTTTGGTGGTCCAAAATTGTGAAAAGTAGGATTTCAGATTTTATGAATATGCGAATTTAGCTATTTGAAGGTCTAAATCATGGAAAATGCTGAAAATTTGTAGTGATTCTAACTCGATGGCCGAGGACTGTATATTCTAGTGATAGATTGAAGATTACCATGTAACTAATGTAACACATGTAACACGTGAAGGCTACCATGTAACTAATTTTGTAATTTACAGCGAAAAAAAATTAACGTGCAAATTGAGGAATGCGTTATGCACTTCCTTTGCACGGAATTTATACAAATTATTTTCGACATCAAATTAAACACATATTTGTGGAATGAAATAAGATTCAAGGTTAAAAATACTAAGTAAAAGTGTTTTTCAACTGTGCATATATTAGGCGTCAAGGAACTGAGGAGTGTTAATTAATTCATAAACAGGAAATAAGATGTTCTTTCTGAGTAAACTGTTAAAGCTATACAGTATTTATCTCGATATATTAATTTGAGTTATTTCATGGAATGTTAGGAATTAATCTCAAAATTTTACAAATGTCCATTAAATATAATACGAAATACAAACTCTCAATAAATAAAGAGAAATGTCTGCAATTTATTTTCTTCTTTTGATTCGAATGCTAAAAATTATTTATTCTACTGTTGAAATAAGACTTCAACTTTCTCTATTTGTACGGTTTGTGAATCTGAATTCTAAAACGTGATCAAATTATGAGCATCTTTGATAGTACAATTGAATTTTTAAGTCCTTTATGAAATAATGTATTTTCGTTTAATAATATAATTATTAACATATAATAATTATTTCATATATCAAAAATTCTTATAATCATTTTACTTTACTTAGCAAATTTAATTCGCAAATAATCGAAATATCTGTTTGCTGAATTGTTCATGTACGTGTAAATATAATTTGATGTGCAAATAGTTTAATAAAATTTTCTTTGATTAATTTTAGTATGTTTGTTTCCTTGTTCTGTTTCACTATATCCCCTTTTATATTTCAGCTAAGAGTACTTGTTTGCAGTATAGAGTACTTGCATAATGTAGTAAAAAGCATTTTATAGCAGATTTGTTAATAATTCTGCTCTTGCCCCATATGTATATGAAATAAAGTTTCAAAGTATTCTTAACTTCAAGTTACGCTCTTATTCAATTTTCGGGGAAAGT